GCCTTCTTATCCCAAGACCTCTACTCTAATGAAGCCAACAGCAAGTCACCTGGCCAAGCAGAATCCGTCCCTAGTTGGTGGAGTAAGGTGGTGTATATCATACTAGTACATGCTTGTTTTATAATTTTGAATGGTTGCTGTCTTTGTGGTTGCAATATACAAGGTCATTGCCAAATAATTGTTTGGATGATACATAGCTGAGTTTTTTTAAAATATTGCATGTTCTACTTGTATGTTTTTCATCCTGAAAAAAGTGCATTTGTAAAGTTGCTCTTCTTGTATTTGTTTATGAACTTCACTGCTTTTTATCTTGCTTTGTAGTTTCAAACGACATTTGGTTTACATCTCATTTGTACTTTTGAATGCTAGATCTCTAAATTTTATGCTCGAGAGAAGTGAACTAAACACAATTGTTAGTGAGAACCAAGCAAAAAAGAGGCAGAAGCTTGAAGGCGGTTTGCTGCACAAGGTTTTATTCTTCTCCTTTTTTTGGGAGGATGGCTTACCACAACATGCATACAACATACTAACCAACCCCTCCACCCTCTGTATGATAGGTTGCTGATACAAACACACAGGCAAACTTTTTTCATAAGATCCCAAAGAAGGTAATTGCTTACCAAATATTTGATTAGCTTGTCCTTTCATTTTGAGTCTCTACATGTGGTGTATATGTTTCATATACTCCATATATTTGAAACAAGAGTCGGGTTTTGTCAAGGTTGAATATTTAAATTTTGGCAGGGTACAACTCCTAAACTCGGGGAAAAACCACAGAAAGAAGCAGAAAATGGGGAATCGGGTGTGTACAGATTTAAAGCCCGTCCTTTGAACAGAAAAGTATGTGTATCTGTCTGTGTATAGGTACACGTTTATTATTTGGATATAGAGTTTTTTCTGTATTCATAGATATTCATGTTTGGTACAGATATTTGAAGCTCCCTCATTTCTTCCAAAGAGAAGTACCCCACAACCTCCCCAGTTTCGAGTAAGTATAGCCTAAGATCTCTACGGACTTACTGTAGAAACACTAATTTTTCCTTGAGCATTTAAGTGAACATTCAAATCGGTCTATTGTCTTGGTTTTCAGGAGTTCCGTTTAAAGACATCGGAGAGGGCTATGCAGCACAACTCGGCAGTTTTATCTTCCAATGCTGTTTCCAACTCTACCAATAAGGTAGATTTTTCAATCCTCTAATGAAGTGCTGAATAGTTCCTTTTTTTTCCCAAAAATATTGTTTATGGTAACTATTTCAAAACGTTTGTATATCCCCTCCATCATTCACCTTACAATATCAGTTTTGTGATAAGGTAGTGTCATTTCAGGTATTTCAGAAATCAAATACTGGTTTCACCCCTGAGTGTAGAAACATAGAAGTTAGAAGGTAATACAATTTGTGATGCACCGTACTTGAGAACATGAGTGTAACATTTATGCTTATCCCAATCTAACGACATCACATGTTATCATTAAATTAAATATCTCTATTGAAATGTATTTGCTTTCCAGACCCAATGTCATGGACCAAGTGAAACAAGAAGGATCCTTGCCAACACACAATTTCAAAGCTCTCCCTCTTAACAAGAAGGTAGAACGAAGGTCTGCGAATAAAAAAAGCACAGATTTTATAATTCTATAAACTAACAAATTCTAGTTTAATACAGATACTATCAAGCAGAGGAGATATGGGGGTTTTCCGTAACATAAAAAAGGAAACCACCGTGCCAATGGTATTGTCCTCGGCTCGTAGAATCATTTTTGGAGTTGTTAGCTTTATGTTATGTCACCAATTCTGATTAAATCTATTCCGTACAATACAGGAATTTAACTTTAGTACTGAAAAAAGAGTTCATCACCATAACCCACCAATTGAACTCTTTAACAAGGTAAATCACAAAAATCTCAATTGTCCCATAACCTTTTATTATTATGTTTTTACTATCACAGAGTTGTTCTTGCCCTAAATATTAGTGATTTTTATACCAATATTGTACTCACCTCGTCCCTTAAAAAGGCTTCACATTTGTAGGTCATATCAAATACTAACGTTACTCCTTAGGGTAGGGGAAATGTCCTACAGATCTACTCTTGAGTGGGATTTACTACGTTTGATTTACTAATACCAATGCTGTTGACATAGTTATCTCTGACATGTGGAACACAACCGTGTGCCGATGCTTCTTTAAGGGTGCAACAGCCTGCACGCATACCTTCAAAGGTTTCACTTACTCAATATCATTTTCATATAAAAGCTGTTGGACAACAATTTTTGATGAAGCTACTTTTTTCTTTTTGGTACAAGGGTTGTAAAGAAAATAGATGGGCTCACTTCCAACAAAATTGTGAGGTAAGCATATGTAAAACTTAAAACCTTTGGTTACTTTGGACCTGGCTTTCTGGACCACTTGTTAGATTCTAAGTTTTTATCCGGGGTCGTCAAATGGCTGGGTTGATATAAATCAAATTTCAAATTATTTATCAATTCAATAAAAATAATTTAATAATTTATTGTATAAAAAAGTTATGAAAAAAATAATTTGAGTGCACATTTGTAAATAAATGAATGTCCTGCTTTTTGAGCATCACCCTAATGGATTGACTAAAAACCCTCAAAAAGGTTCAATCCATCTATGTGCCTGGTGGATATACAAATGGAATGGATGTTATTTCTTGCAATCCATCACTTCCTCCGTCCCACAAAATTGTCATCTATGGTTGAAATACATTTTGTTAACTTTGACTATGCACAAATGTTAAAAACTAAGAAACACATTTTATATCTTTAAATTCAATTTTTAGTTCAATTTAACTAATAAAAGATTACCTGAAAAAAGCGGTTTCCTTTGCCGAATCGTGCATTTCCCTGCAGGTAAAACAGACAGACAAGAGAGAAGTCACAAGGTCTTCTTGCAAAGCAGATTCAGAATTTTGCAGACGGGTTTGTTGACAACGGCTTCAGGTAATCTTATTATGATCATATCTTTGTTTTCAATTTAAGCATTGGTTTCGAACTTTTGGAAAGACAACTCTGTTAAGTCAGCCTCTTGTATGAATTCGGCAGGTCGATACAACATAGCACAATGTAAATAGAATGGTTAGAAACTTCGATCAGTTGCCTCTTGTCTTCTTCTTGATGGGTACAAAGGTTTTTTTGTGTTCGGCTTCGTCTACTGAAAAAGAGAAGGAAAAAAAATCACTCTTACACCTCAAGAATGTACTCAAAACTCCATTGTCTCTATACAAAAAAAATGTTGTATGTGGTGAAAATGTGAATTTATTCCTTATTTTTTTGCCAAGGGAAATGTTAAAGTCCCTCCAACTCTCACCCACCTTTCACTCCCCACCTCCTTTACATTCATTCACATACATTGAATACTTTAAAAGGAGGGATGATGCCCCTAACATGACCCAAATCATGCTAATACGGTTAGAAATCTTGCCCCACTAGTTTTGAAACAATCTAAAACACTCTAAAATTGAGACCAATTTGCTCGTGCCATAGATCATTTGACCCTCCCGGGGGCGCTTTGAAAGTTGTAGGGGGTAAAAGGGTGGGGTGGGGGTTTGGGGAGAGGGGCAGGAACCATTAATTTTACGAACAAGGTACCAGAGAAGCTCCAAATGAGCGAGTGTCATCCGTTGACACTGGATGCCACTAGGGGTGGACACGGTACGGTTCCGGGACGGTTCCGGTTCCGGAACCGCCGGTTCCGGTACCGCCACCCTTGGTACCGGTACCGTGACCGGACCGGCGGTTCCGGTACCGCCACCCTTGGTACCGGTACCGTGACCGGACCGGCGGTTCCGGTACCGGACCGGCCACCAATTTCTTGCGGTTTCCAGTCGCCGACTCGCCATAGTCGCCAATGGCTATTGCTGCGGAACAATCCGAGAAATTGGGCTATTGGGAAATTTCCACTCGGTTTCTAGTCGCCGATTTGCCACAGTCACCAATCTTCTTCTTTTTTTGAGAAATTAGGCTATTGGGCCATGGAGTATTGGCCATTTGGCGTGCTTCTTCTTCCTTCAATGTTCTTCGAGAATCGAGAGTTCGAGCGGCTGCTTGAGTTGAGGGCGATGGTTGAACTGCCGGAAAAGAAAAAAAAATCACGGTACGGTACCGGTACCGCCGGTTCCGGGACGGAAATGTTGGCACCGGAACCGGTACCGAGTGGGGCGGTGCCGGTACCGGTTCCTGGTACCGGGTGACGAAACGGCCGACGAGGACGGTTGCAGGTACCGCCGGTACCGGCGCCGGTAACGGTACCGAACCGGTACCGTGTCCAGCCCTAGATGCCACCTTGCTGATACTAGAGTTGGTTTTAATAAATCAACAACAACATAAGCTTAGCATAAAGCTTTCTAAACAAATGTGTTTATTCAAATAACTTCTCTAAAAATATAGGAAGTAGCTCAAAGTTTCAAATGTGGTTGTATTAAACTTTTTTTATTTGATATAGTGATTTGCGATCACTTGCTCCCGTCCCACTATCTTTGGAATAAGTGTCGAAATTGAAAAAATTACATAAAATTGTGCAAATGTCAAAGAATTCAAAATGTTGACATATCTCAACATTGGCATATTTTTCTTCTAAATTTACATACACTCATAATTAAATGAATTCAAACAAAACCAAACTATTACTATTGAATGCCTTCTACTATATAATATCAATATATCAAAGATAGTAATAGAACCTTGTTTCTAGCTCTTAGAATGTTACCCTCTTTTTTCTCCAGAAAACAAACTGAGACTCTTCCTGTATGTCCCATACAAACTAACCCGACATGTGGACTAAAACCGACCAAAACAATTAACACCGATAAAGCATAGTGAACAAAGCTTGGTGTATCCTTTTCCGGTGGCCAAATTTTCGATTTCAAATGCTAAATTAATACTCTTGCCATACCAGAGTATAGAATATTCGTGCGGGTTGACTTTTTTCAATCAAAGTGAATAAACTTTGATCAATTATACAAAAATTACATTGTGTATAAATACAATAAAATAATTTTATGAAAGTTTTTTTGCATGATGGAATCGCTTTTGTATTAACATGCAATGCAATTTTTATTACATTGATGATCAAAGTTCATCCGGACATCCGGTTTGATTGTAAAATGGCAAACTCAGCAAATACTCTGGGACACACGTAATAATCATTTCAATTTTGCATCCCAATAACAATATTTCTCCCTTGTTCATTGTGATTTTCCTGTTGGGAAAATTCAAAAGTATATTTACTAAGGGGAAACAATAAAGCACACTGTATACATCAAACACACAAAATCGAAATTAAATAGAGAAAATGTGGTGTACTTGTTTGTACCTTCTTCAATCAGAACTTCTATTGAGGAATATTGGAACAATCAACATTTTGGTTTGTCCACTCCATGCCTTTAATGACCCCTACAAAATCCAATGAGAATTTGACTACACAATTCAAGGAATTGTTGAAGAAAATCACTCTCCATCTGAAAAGGAGTAACATTTACTCTTTTGTCCAAACAAAAAGTCTTGATTAAGATAAACTTTCTTACTCTGTCTAATTTACGAATAGTCGGACAAGTTACACATGTAATAAAATTAGTCAGACCATCAAATAAATTTAAATTATGCAAGTACAGTTTGCGATATACGCTACATGCACAATGGCAAAAATGACTACTTAGAAGGGGGGGGTTATGAAGTAACTAACCGCCAACACAACAACCCACGTGGTGTAGCCCCACAGGTGAGGTCTGGGGGTGGGTGTATACAGACCTTGCACCTACTTTTAAAAGGTGGAGAGACTACTTCCAAAAGGCTCCCGGTTGAAATTTCTATTTTAAGTCGGCCTCATTCAACTAGTTTGTGCGATGAATTTTACTAAATTGTCACCAAGTGTGCCCCCGACCTTGCCTCTTTTCTTTACAAAGATGCACACATACGCGTGGGCCAAGGATGGGGACACTGTAGCACAACTTTTGTGCAATAGCTAGCTTGTAGATAAATGATGGGACAAACTTTTGCAGAAAACAGAGTTGAGCCATGAACACCGGCATTCAAATATATGATTTTGAATTGATTTTTCACCTTTACTAAAACAACATTTTATACAACAACCCAATATAATCCTAACTATGTTGGGTCTAAGAGGTCAGGAACTCAAGAAGTACACAGTCTTAACTCTTAACCCAATAAAAAACAGATAGCCTGTATGCTGTTTCCATTAGACCCTAGCTAGATGAAGCCGCTAGAGATTCGTTTCCTCCAGATCCTGAAGATTGCTACATTTAATCCCCAAAACTTCACAGACAGTAAGAAGCAAGATAAGTTTAATGTTACATTATAATTTAGTCCATTATGTGCCTGAAACTAAAAAATTGTCAATAATGACATTTTAGCTCCATTGGCAATGGACAAACAATACAATTTTACATTACACAAAAATAAATTTGAAATATAGCACTCATCAACATCATTATAAAAATAGTGACAATGTTTCATGCCGGATGTCCTTCATGTTGCAACCTTCATAAGAAGGAATAATGATACGAAAAATTTAAGATTGTCACCATCATAGGTCACTATGTTGACTCGAGATATTTGGTATTGTCAATCACGGAACAAGGTCAAAATTAAAATTTACCACTATACGAATATAAAGTACAACTTTTAAGAAAACTAAATTACATGAATAATTTGTATATCACAAGCTTGGAGTCTGAAACTAATATTTATAAAAAAAAACCATCTCAATAAACTGAGCACCTAACCGTCAGTTATAATTGATACAAAAGCAATACACTTTTATCAGTTATTAATACCTTGTGAAGAAGAGTCAAGGATAGAGGCATTAACCAAATCCTGGAGGTACATCTAGATCTTCATCAGGACCATCAACTAGCTGATTGTGATCTATGGCTCTAGAAAACCCAGGAGGACGTGCACGTGTATCGTCCTCATTATCGTTGCCCAAACGATCCCCTGGGCAGTGGGTCTCTGAAATGAATTCCTCTCTTATATTCCCATCACGAGGCGTAACAGAACCAGGAGGTTCATTTGGAACACCATCAGATAGTTTACCATTGATTTCGCTTCTAGTATGGCCATTACTTTCAAGTCCCTTCTCATCTGACTGTGACTTTGCCTTATAAGACGTTTCACCTTCTTCATTAATGTTTGGGTTTAATAACTTATTGCAGACAGATTGTACTGTTTCTGCTATTTCATTCTGCATGCCATCCATAGATCTAATTACCTTCCAGATACCATCAGAAATTTCACTCATGACTTTCGACCTATGAGTTGAAACACAAAAAATGTTAGACATGGACTATAGATCACGAGAACATTGTCATTTAGCAAGTCCACAATAAACCTAGCTTTTTTTGCAATGACTAATTAATATAGAAACTTTTGAACAAGGGCAGGTATAAGGTTTGCAAGTGGGGCACAATGTTCAATGAGCATGTCATATTTACCCCAAAAAAGTAAGGCTAGAAAACTTAAGAGGTCCCTTTATTACCGAATCTGTTAAACCCAACAAACAAAACCACAAAAGTAGCAACTTACCCAACTTCTTGATATATGGCATCAGAAAGTTGCCTTGGTTTCAATCTTTTGGCACTCGGATGATTAAGTGCTTTTGATTGCCTCACAGCTAACATGAGACTATCACGCAGCTCTTCCTATAACAAAGTTTGTAATGGTTAGAACACATCTCATTCCTTGTTTTTATTGATGCTTGTTTTGAATATTTAAATAACATTCATGTTTTACGCTACTGGCGTTTTCCTTTCATACCAAACAGGAAAATTTAATGCTACCTAAACCACTAAATTTGCAGAAGATGCCAAGACACTAAAGGAAGAAAACGTAGGACACAACAACAAGAACAACTCAATATAATCTCAACTCCGTTGGGATCTGAGGGTCAAGATGTACGCAGTCTTACCCCAACAAATACAGAGAAGTTGTTCCCATTAGACCCTAGATGCATTGCTGCATTTACTTTCCAAAACTCCATAGAGAGTATGAATCAAAAGAAGTTTAATGTGCACTTTTTATTTAGTCCATTATGTTTTACCAAAATGGACTAAATGTAGGACACCAACTCCATGAATACCAAAATGTTTTGAAACCAGGCCTGGGTAAAGAATTCCATTGTTTGAGATAATTGTATGATATTTGAGATAATGTAGGAAGACGGACTTACGGAAAAGTATGGAAGATCTACTGCAAACAAGGAAAACTAAAATGAGCATACTCCTAAAAAAGGGTTATATGTACTAAATATTTAAATGTTTGAGGTTTTAGCACCATTTCCCCCGAACTCTTCATAAAGTGCACGCTTTCCCCCAAAATTCTAAAAGTGCGCCATTAGTCTCTAATTCCTAATACTTAAAAAATGGTGCATGGTTGGCCCCCATGTATGATTTTTCAAATGTGTTGAAGACACACACACTTATGGTGCAATTATGAGTTGATTTTAACCAATATATGACATGTTAGTTGTTAAAAACATCATTTCATAGATTAAACTTTATCTTCTACTCCCTCTATCCCACAAAAGGTTTCACATTTCTTTTTTCATTTGTCCCAAAAAAGACTCTGCTTTCCATTTTTAGAAAAGTTTTCATGGCCCATAAAATTTTTCTCCTCTCTGCACTACTTTCAATTACACAATTTTACTTCTTTTAATCTTCGTGCCAAGTTAAATGTGGAACCTTAAAAAATCAGACATGGGGGCCAACCCTGCACCATTTTCAATATTTTAAGGACTAATAGTGTACGTTTAAAAGCTTGGGGGAAAGCACACACTTTAAATGTTCTATACAGGGTTTCAACAACTGAGCTACTCGTTTTCCTTGATGAATTTAGTACTCTTAGTTATTTGGTACCATTAATGTTGTTTTCCCCTCTTTCGCTGGACTTTACTAGGTCTAATGTTGTTCTTGTAATGCTAATCTCCTTTTGGAAGCTAAACTTGAAACCCCACTGAACTTTGATTCAGCCACAAGTTATTTATTTAGTGAACAATTCATGATTACTGCAAACAAAATGGAACAGGAAAAAATAATACAAAGAAGCAAAAAAGAAAAATGGGATTCGAAGTAAATTAAGGTAGTTTTTGGCAACTAGCATTTCATTTCATTTCAATTCATGCATTTCAATTCTAAGATTTGAAATCTTGAATTTCAAATAACAAGGAGAGGTACATGAATTTAACTTAAATCCAAATTCAAAATTTTTGAATTTCCCAAACATTGAATTTGAGTCAATTCCGGATTTGAAATCCAAATCTATGCTGCCAAACATGCCATAAGGGGAATACAAAGAAAGGACACTCACATCTTCTTTCACTTTCCGGACGACTTTGAGGCGGAGCCGATCGAAGTCGCCGTCGTCTTTGATCTTTGAGATCACATCCTCCGCCTTGATTTTCCCTCGATTAAAACCACCGGTTTCCATTAATTTACTTCTCCGCAGCAGAATCGAAGCTATTGCAATGGCGTCAGCGCTGGATATCTGTGTGTTTGTGTTGGTGAACAGGGGTTGATTGGGCCGCATTTGGCCCGGGCATAGGATTAACTCTTTCTCCCACCGGCCCAAATACCAGCTTTCTTAAACTCTAAGCTTATACTAGTTCCGTCCTAAATTAAATTACATATTTACTATTTATAGAATCAAATTTTATTTATTATATTTTCTAATTTTCGTTATTCATTTGATAAAATAATGTAATCATGTTACCATTAATTTTGTAGATCTTTTGATGTATTTTTAAATATATAATTTTTATTATTAAATATATAATTTGAAAATAACTCTAATCAAACATCGTAAATCAAAACAGTTGATTTAAGTTAGAATGGAGGGAGTACTAGGTAAATCAAGTTTATAAACATCTTGGGTCGACTTGACCCGGTGTTGCTAGATCATGAACATATATTCTCCTAATCTCATTGTCTCAAAATAGATGACACTCCTCAAACAATATGCAAAATTTTATCACTTTTAGAATTATTTTAATTACAAATTCAAATAGAAATAATTAGTATATAAAGAACACTATTTAAAACTATATAAAAAAACTATACAAAATAAGAATATTTTATATTGTCAAATAATCAATAAAAATATACAAACAAAATTATCAAGAGACTGTAATGGTAACGGAGACATGCATTTTGAGACGGGAGTAATTCCTAACTCGAATCCAAAATTCTCGATCGTAATTGTATATTAATTAGATAAAATAATATTTTAAAAATATTGTATAAATAAATTTAATAGAATCATTTTTGTATCAACATTTAATACAATCACTTTTATTTGATTTGATGTTAGGGTTTACTAATTCTAATTTATAAAATTAAAAGTGGACAAATACTCAAGGAGGAATAAAGTTAAACCGGTCTGCTATAGTCAAACAAGAGAGGAGAAAATTATGAGAGAAAAGAATATTTCTCATGACTATGGTGGCACGGGACTAGACAGTTCAAGTTTTATACTATCACGCATTCTGTCTCGTTATATTTAAATGGTTCAGAACGGTTCGAACCACGAGCATATTTCACTTTTTTCTATAATTTGCATGAGCGAGATAAAACAGAACTAATTCAGACTATAATGCTATGTCCTTGTTCAAAGTTAGAGATAAAATACACAAATGGATATAGAGGAAAATTGATTTTTAGAGTTACAACAAAATTGTAAAAATTTAAAACAACATGGAGTATTTAATAAGAATGTCGTAAAACAACCTACCCAATAAGACAATATGCAAAAATTAAAACATAATAAATTAAAAGAGAATATCACTCAACTAACAAAGTAACGAAAAAAGAATGCTAGATTTGGGCCAAATACTGTTCTAGGATAGCTTACTCGAGAGTATTCGTGTGTGTGTGTAAGGAGTATATATATTTTAGAAGCATGCTACTTTCCCAAAATTTGTACTAGTACACTAAAGGTATGCACCAACATTTTAATAGTTCACACTGACATAAATTATTGGTGCATTAACAAAAATTTACACTGACACAAAGTGTTGAAGTGTTAACAAATACCCCCTCCGTCCCTAAATAGATTACAATTTTTTTCTCTCCCCTCTCGATAACTTTTGTTTGTTTACGTGATTTCATTAAGTATTTGATAAAATAAAATATTTTTGTCACCTCTTGTTTTGTAGAACTTTTGACGTAGTTTTTTAATATGTAATTTTTATATCTTATTGATATACCAATTTGTAAATAAAATGATTTCAAAAAGTAGAAAATTTTACTCCGTAACCCGCAATTTGTAATCAAATTGGGGACGGAGAGAGTATTAGCATTACACCAATATAAAATGTTGGTGCATCTCTGCGGCGTACAAAATAGGATACAAATTCTTAGGGTATATTTTATGCCAAACATTAAATATCAAAACATATAAAAGGGTACAATTTGGAATGGGAACCCACCCCTAAGAGCATCTCCAGTGTAGAGGCTATATGCTAAAATTTACACAATTTACACTTTGTGTTTAACTTTTTGACACTGCAAGGGAGAGAGTAAAACAAATGCTAAAATACAATATAAGGTAAAATACAATTGGCAAAGTGTATATATACAAGTTGGTTGTAGATAAGGATATGAATAAATGTAAAGTATGAAGTATATTATACTCCCTCCGTCCCAAAAAAATTTACACCTTTCAAAAAAATTGCGTCCCACAATCTCTTACCCATTTCTATTAAAAACCACTTTTACCCCTTACTTTTTCAAATCCTACCTATCACATCATACCTTTTTACTAATAATCTACACATCACTTTTACCCATCACATCAAGAGTATTTTTGGAAAGTCAACACAAAATTATTCCTCCCTTAATTTCAACTTTAGTCAAAATGTGTAAATCTTTTTGGGACGGAGGAAGTAAAAAATATGGTTGGAGTAGGTATTAAAAAGTGGAAGTGTAAAATAATGTTGATAGTATAAAATGTAATTTACACTACCATCATTGGAGATGCTCTAACTATAGGCATATTGGGGCTAAGGCTTTTCCAGTCTGCTATGCATATTTGGTTCGCTCGCATAACCCCTCTCTGGTCTCTATAGTCTTCTTCTTCCCCACAAACACACACAGAGACACATCTTGCAGAGACGAAAACCACAGGCGACCTGCAAAGAACAAAGGCGAATCTAGCGACGAGCTCCTCTCCGATTCCGGCTTCTTCCTTTAAAAAGGTTGGTACTTGGTAATAGTTTAGTCTAAAAAGAAATTTTTGAAATGGACATGAGCGGTTGATTCCTGAATCATGACAGTTTAATGTTTAGCATTATACGGAGTATTTCTATATTTTGAAGCTTCAATTTTGATTAGTTGATTGGGGGGGGGGGGGGTATATTGCGGTTTGTTGAATCTTCATTTATTTAGTCAATTTTTAATGTGGAATTTGTCTCCTTTCTGAATCTGATGCTTGCTTTCATGATTCATCAATTGTGATTTGGTTACTTTCATCAAGTGAATTGTGGCATTTTATGTGGGTTAGTTTGCTGTTATTTGGGTTATTTTGTATGCTTGTTAATTGTAATACTTGGATGTGGTGCTCAATATATCTTTTGCTTTCGGTTCAATTTGTCGCATGTTTTTTTTGCCTCTCTCTCCTACATCAAATGGCTAAAAATTAAAATGAATTATAAGAATATTGGTACTTAACCTCTGCTAGTGTTCTTGGTTTATAAGAAGTTATGGAGAAATTTGAAATGGCGAATGATTGTGTGGTAACCTATATTAAAGAAGACACATTAATAGGGTGCCTAATGAAAGATTTTTGTGAGAATTTGAGACTAATGTGTGTAGAAGAGAGATTCTATAATGTCAAGTTATGTTTTTGTTCATGTCTATTATGATTATTATATTTATTAAGAAGCCAAATGTGACTTTGTGTGGAGTATACTAGTACCTGGTTACATGTCATTTAATCATTTTGATGCATTCATTATTATATTTTTTCCGTCCCTAATAAACGATCTTGGGTATGCTATTATTACCCTTAGAGCTTGTTGAATGGCTTGCCTTTCATCTGGTATCGCAGCAACTTCCTCTCCTTCAACCTCGAGTTTCCTTGGCAGGCAGAAATGCTTCTCTTCCAATCTGCAAACCAATCACCTGAATTTTTCCTATGCTGGACGTGTCAATCTCCGGATTAATTTTCCTTATTCCAAGATTTTCACTTCTCACAGGTCGGTTCATCCCGTCTTCAACACCCTCTCTTCTTACAACGGCACATCTAGTAAGAATTCAATATCCATCTCTCTTTGGTCCAAACTGTATTCTCCAAGAAATATAAACTAAACTAGACCTAACTGATTACTCCCCCTCCCCCCAAAAAAACGCTCTTTATCGAGGTACTTTTTTAATATAAAAGCTGTAGTATAGAACTCTTGTAAATCATCCATCCAACTCTTTCCTAAATTAAGCTGTTTCTTAAACTTGTTTTCAAATTAACATTCACATCGATTTCAATCATAAGTACCATATTTATTTGTTTCAAAATCTAGTCTACAAGCAATATAAACAAAACCAAACCCTATCGGTTACTCCCATGCCAAAAAGCCATATTTTATCATAGTACAACTTATTTTCTTCTAAAATATTTGTTCATTTCACTATTTTAAGCAAAATGTTACATTAAATTCAATGATAAATAGTATCTTTTCCTAAAATTCGATACAATTTTTTAATGAAAGATGAGAGGTTTTTGCTGGGTACCTGAATAATATATTTCTTTTTATATGCTTATTTTTGAGTTATTACAGAAGAAGGAAAGGTTGTTGTGTTGGTCATTGGTGGAGGAGGGAGGGAACACGCGCTTTGTTATGCTTTACAACGATCACCTACATGTGACGTGGTCTTTTGCGCCCCGGGTAATGCTGGAATTTCTAGTTCTGGAGATGCTACTTGTGTATCGGACCTCGACACCTCCAATAGTTCAGAGGTGATCTCATTTTGCCACAAACAGGGAGTTGGATTGGTTGTTATTGGGCCCGAGGCTCCTCTTGTTGCGGGCCTCAGTAATGATCTTTGTAAGGCTGGAATCCTGTCATTTGGCCCTTCCTCCGAAGCTGCTGCCTTGGAAGGGTCAAAAAGCTTCATGAAGAGCTTGTGTGACAAGTATGGGATCCCGACAGCAAAGGTTTATCTCAAACTTTCTAACTTCTGCTGTATGGGTGTTACACCCAAATACTTTCCCAACTAATGTTTAACATCTTCAATATCGTTTGCAAAATGTGTTGAAGTATAATACAGAGTAATATACTACGGAGTATAGTATAGTATTTAGTGATATGATACAACCTAGGGCCTAACCCATTGAATCAGGGGTCTCTTTGGATGAGGGGTTTTGGAAGGCTTTGGAGGGTTTATTGTGCATCTTGACAAATAGAATCTTTAACAAAATTAAAAAGGTGATTGAGATTTTATATAATCACATACTATCAATTTATCATAATATTTTTTTGGTTAATAACATCTCAAATGTATATTAAGCCCTCTGTCCAAACAGAGCCTCTGAGTCCATTAATTTTCTATTTAAGCAGTGTATTAACCTTGTTCAGGAATACGAGGTTGTAAGGTAATTGCCATATCAATAAAAGTAATAGTTTGACATTCAACATGGTACTGGAACCACCCTGATCATTACCCATGACAACCGTGTGTCCGTGTGGGATGGGGTGTTGAAGAGTATGTCCCATATCGGCTAAATTTAAAACTATAAATCAACATATAAGACTTTGGACTACACCTCCTGTGGAGTTGACCTTTTAAGATGGAACTCAAGTTTTAATAGCATGGTTTCCTTTTTATTTTGACAAGGATTCCATATTTACACTTGCATTTTAATTGGTGCAGTATCAAACATTCAAAGAACCATCAAAAGCAAAAGAGTACATCAAACAGCAAGGCACTCCCATTGTAATTAAAGCAGATGGATTGGCTGCCGGTAAAGGGGTGGTAGTTGCCATGACACTTGATGAAGCATATGAGGCAGTAGAATCCATGCTTGTGGGAGGCGTGTTTGGCTCAGCTGGATCTCAAGTTGTGGTTGAGGAGTACTTGGAGGGCGAGGAAGCATCTTTCTTTGCGTTGGTGGATGGGGAGAATGCCATTCCTTTGGAATCCGCTCAAGATCATAAACGGGTTGGAGATGGTGACACGGGACCCAATACAGGTGGAATGGGAGCTTATTCTCCGGCACCTGTTCTCACTAAGGAACTCGAGTGTGAGGTTATGGAGTCCATCATTGTCCCTACCGTAAAGGGGATGAGTGCAGAAGGCTGCAAGTTTGTTGGGGTTCTGTATGCCGGCTTAATGATTGAGAAGAAATCCGGACGACCTAAGTTAATCGAGTACAATGTGCGTTTCGGAGACCCTGAGTGCCAGGTTAGTTTACGTTTTTTAACTTGTTTTTTGCTGTCGTTTTGTGCAATGTTTTTTCATAAACAAATGTATAGATAATTATATGTCAAGATTTCTTAGTATTTAAACAATAAATACATTCCATAAATGGTCTCTAGTTACAGGTGGTTTTCCATATTTATTCCCCAATTCTAAGATATTACAGAAATGGTCCTCAATTTTTGAAAACTATTCCAAAAATAGTCCTTTCAGCCAAATATGACTATGTTTTTCACAGTCCCTAAAGGACCAACTATGGAATAGTTTTCAAAAGTGCAGGACCATTTATGTAAATCTTAAAATTGGGGACTAAATATGGAAAACCACCTGCCGCCAAAATCATTGGAAAGTACCATAATGACCTTGGGTGGTGGTTGGGATGTGTTTGCAATGTCGATAACTGTTTAATTTCACCACCCTTCAAATTCTCTCTTCACACATTTTGCAGGCATTAATGGTTCGTTTGGAGTCCGATTTAGTCCAGGTCCTACTGGCAGCTTGTCAGGGACAGTTGAACGGAATATCCCTGAATTGGTCACCTGGGTCAGCCATGGTGGTAGTCATGGCCAGCGAGGGGTACCCTGGAAGCTACAAAAAGGGAACAGTGATTCAGAAGCTGGACGAAGCAGAGCAGGTGGCCAAAATATTCCACGCCGGAACATCTCTAGATGCGGAGGGTAATTTCATTGCAACCGGAGGGCGCGTCCTTGGGGTCACGGCCAAAGGAAAGGATCTTCAAGAGGCACGGGACAGAGCGTACCGAGGAGTTGAGGCAGTTGAGTGGCCGAGCGGTTTTTACAGGCGGGATATCGGTTGGAGAGCGTTGTCTCTGACACAACACGTCTGCTAAACGTTCTGGGGGGCATTTTCGTACTTTTTTCGACCCTTACTCGGGCCATATTTCGGGTATCCGTTTTGGATTTGAGTGTTAGGAAGAGTGAATGAGTGACTTTGGGAAAGACTTTTCCTTTTTTTGTAACACTCCAATGTAGGGACTCTTGCTCTGGTCATATCCAGATGTTCATTGGAATGTTTAAAATCTGTTGAAAATAACAAAATAGAAAAAAGTGTCTCAAGTTATTAAAGGTGACAATTTGGCTTTTGAAGTCGAACTTCATCAATTTTGAGTGACTGATAGCTATTTGTCATTGTAAAGTTTCATAATTTGAAATTTATTTTGACTAATTATTTGACACAAGTTTTTGAATATTATAAAATTTTATACTCCGTATCATAAAACATTACGGAGTATAATGTATTTTGTATGAATGATTAGATCATGTTCTCTTTACTTGATCTCAATAGTTCTGATCTGATTGAAATAAGTTTTGATTTGGTTTGATCAGCATGTAGTTATATTTAAATTTATGTTTTATCTGATCTGGTCTGAATTGAACTGATTCTAATACGAAAAAATAACAAGTACTCCATAATAAGAATAAGTTGAAGAAAACATGGTCTTAGTTGCGGGATTGGACAAGGCAATGTTCCGGTTCGGTTTTGGTTCCAAAAGCGTTGGTTTCCACAAGGGTAGAATTGTAACTAGGACCCAGTGGGGAGGGGTTTTCGAATGGTTGGTTTTGGTTTTGGCTCCCAACGGATTTTGGTATTTTATTAAAAAATATTTGATGAATTTATAAGATAGGAAAAAATTTTAACATGAAAAAACATTCATGGATTTTATGAGTCATACAAAGATAAAATGATAGCAAGGAAAAAGTACATGAAGTTGGAGATAAAAATAGTTGTACATCTCAAATTATATTGGAGTAATTACTAAATTAGTCCCCAATTATTATATTTATTTTTACGAATAGTCCTTTGATAATATTTTCGTTAAGAATGTGGATAAAATTGTAAATCACACTCCTTTTTCTCCCCGCGCACTCCTTTCTCAAACCCGTCATTGAGTTTGAAGTTTTGAATCCAAAACTGAAATCATCACTCTTCTCTCAATTGTTGGTCTAACTAGTGGAACCCAAATTCAAAACCAGTAACCTTCATGGATGAGTTTTAATGTTTTTTTTTGCAATTTCTTGAGACTAACCGATAAAACTCATCCATAAAGCTTATTGGTTTTTATTTTAGGTTCCACCAGGAAGACTAATAATTGAGAGAAGAATGATCATTTCAGTTTTGAATTTAGAGCTTCAAACTCAGCGACGAGTTTAGGAAAGAATACGAGAGGAAGGAGAAAACTTAATTGAGGAGAGAGAGATGTATAAATATACAATTTTATCCATGTTCTTAACAAAAACGTTAACAAAGGACCATTCGTGAAAAATGATATAATAATTAGACACTAAATTAGTAATATTTGATATGTAGAAATTAAATATGTAAAATAACCTATAACTGGGAATCTTTTATGAAATTTACTTTTTGTTGTATTATCAGCATTGACAACACTCGTTATTACGCCAACACAGTCATGACAAAAAACATGAGTTGCTCATCATTCCACTGTTAGACGACGGTATTTCTACATATTCATCACTCATAAATAGTCCGTACTTAGAAAGAGGACTCGTTTCTCAAATTCTGAAAAGAGATTCTACTCCGTAGTATTTTAGCAAATGTAACTATCACTACCCAAAAAAAATCATCCAAAGTTAAACAATGACTAAAAAAACTTGTACGGAGTATATGATTGAAACCTAATGGTTGAGTTTTCAAAACTGCAAGAAAGAAATGTTTTACTTTATTTATTTTCAACTAAACATAGAGAATTTAAATTTAAAAAAAAAGTACTTCAAAAATTTGGGAAGTGGGTGATACTAAACTATATACAAATGTTTAAAAATAGATCCCAATAAGGTGCAAAGGCATTACAGTTCACAACATACATAGTACAAAATATATATATATACGGAATATATAATACAACATTCCCACCACATTTTCACCCCAATATTTCAAGGACTTTTTTGTCAAATACAAGTAAAATTTGAAGCCGCTTTGCGGCTGGCTAATTGCAGAGCCAACTACTTGATGGGGAATGAATACACATTCATGAGCTCGATCGTCGGTGAGAACTCTTCTTCGAGCTACAGCCCGAATGCCTGCAAAAAAACAGTGTTATGTCAAAGACAATGTTACTGTGTTGAACCTCCCACAAATTGGGAAAGGGCCAAAAACCCAAGCCAGATTTGAACCCTAGACTTGGATCTAGGGGGATCAATGCAATTCCACTTTGATCATATTCAAAAGAACAGAAGAATAATGATTTTTTAATCTTGTTTAAGTAATTCAATAACTAATACAGAGTATTACGGAGTACTACTACAAAATTACACGTCACAAACTTACGTGGTATATAATTGTTTCTATAAACTTTTAAGTTACAAAGTAACAAGCTTACAGTTTGATAATACTACACATATACAAACATACAGTTTACATAAACCACATTTTATGGCTTTCACTGGATAGGCCGTTGCAAGTCAGCTACAGAAAAAAGAGTAGCTGTTTGGGCCTGAACCAGAACTGGCTGGTCTGGTCCTAATGAGTAAGAACCAGAAATGGTGAGTCAGGGCATGTTAATAGTTCTGGTTCGATTGGATCCCTTGGGGACCTGTTGGGCCAAGACCTCCCTTCAGATCTCATACGAAAATGTCCAACATAGAAAATTGCAGTAGACTTACGACTCATCGGCGTTTTCTTTGCTGCCAGATGACTGTTGAGCACTCCTTGTTTGCCCTGAAATCTAAAGAAAGATGAAATTACAAAAATGTATCATACTACTTGTATATAGTGCATGTTTTCCATATTTTGAGACACAGTTTGCATGCTATGCATATATTGAAATGCATTCCCTTTATTTTCAACTGAATGTTCATTGTCCAAAATATAACGTGCATAGCCTATTGCTGTAGCAGACCACCAAATGACAAAAATTAATGAACAAAAGCATGGGTGTTTCTAAACATACGGCAAAGATCTTTTGACCTTGAAACCAAAGTCACTTTATGACCCAGGGCACCTACAATGCTCTGTTGGTAAAATTGATGGTTCTTGCCCCATGCACCCCAGCCCCCCCTAAAACCACCAATTTGGGCTGCCCAAATTGGCATTTAGGGGGGGGGGGGCAGGGGTGGAGTGCTTGGAAGGGGGGAGGGTTGGGGGGTAAAAACCGTCAATTTTACCAACGGGGTTTCAAGGTCAAATGATCCATTTCGTTAAATATAACAAGTTCAAAAATCAATAAAATCTCTATTGTAAACATAAGAGCATCTTTAGTGCTAGTTGCTTAAGAGTTGCTTAAGAATATCTAAATAAAGAAATGTTTATGACATATTGACATGGAAGCACAATTGCTTCGATTTGTTAGAGGGTTGCTTCACTAAGCAACCAATGCTTAGCATTTTAATAATAAAAAAATAATTAAGTACTCGATCTAAGCAATTTGCATTAATGAGGCTCTAAGCCTCATTATCCCACACTCTAGCATTATTATTCTTTTGGTGATAAACAATGAGCACCGAAGGGATTCTCTGAAAATTTTGGAAAACAACAATTACAAATGACGGCTCCACTTGTTTCCAAAAAAAATACGTTCTTGACGAACGTTTGTTTTGAAATGAAAAAAAAATCTTCCATACTCCCACACATTTCCAAAGAATCATTTCACTCAGGATGTTAGTTTCCTGTAAACAAATGGAGCCTTGGACTTGACCTGCTAAATTAATGCTCAAACAAGCACAAACTCAGCAGAGGAGTCCATTTGCATATAAAAACAATTCAGAAACAAGAGACAAAAATGCCACAAATTCCATGAATAAGCATGTGGAATGAAGGAATTAAAAGATAGTAACGATAAAAAATAACACAGGCTATATAATTATACAGTTAGACAATCATAACTTCATTCATTTAACTTATCTACAGAGACGTATTCTAGCAAGGTATCATAAGATGAATGAAATAGACTAACATGATTCCGTACTCTTTTGTTCCCTTTGCTGTGGGCTTCGAGGTACTCTTCATATGTCTGCAACATGTGACCGAAACATAAAAGGGGCGAAAAGAATTGATTATTATATAGACAACGACTGGGGAAACAGGAGCGGGCATAAGTGGAAAAATGGGGTAAAATCATCGATGTGATAACACAAACAATACCAAATACATTAAACCATAATTTCCACATGCTCAATTACAAAGGGATGTTTCTTTCATCTCCGTGATCGTAATTCTGTTATTTCAAACACCAGAAATTTGAGTGTTTTGACAAAATTCAACAAAGTGATTCTTGATTCGTGAAACTCTAACAACCCATTCCAGTAAATCTCTTTCTGATCATCAATTTTTTGAGTCATTTTGTTTCACATCACAATGGAAGCCCTGAAAAACAACCTAATCCGAATCCATTTTCACAGTAGAATAGAATCAACGACAAAAATCTTAGATTACCCAATTCTCTTCCCACCCCAAAAACTTATTATATCATATAGGCCATGAAAAAACACAAATAAATAAAAGTTCCCGTGAAGTTGGAATAGCACCCTGTGAAAAATGATATGGGATGGAGGGAGCATAATTTAAAAATCAAAATGATAGTGTGAGTACATAAAGACTTCCTCTTTTTCTATTAATAAAATAGAGCATATCCTGCTAGTAACATGATGGACACTTACCATGTCAAGGATATCATCATCAGTGAGAACAGTGAGGGAACTAGCGAGAGGACTTTCACCTGAGAAACCAAAAGCATCAAACTGAAAAGAAAAGTTTGGGCCCTCACTAATATATTTTGTAAGGCTCCTATTTCATTGAGAATATCTAGAAACATACCATCTGAGCCATGATGCTCTGCAAGAAATCTACTCGTGTGATGGTGATATATTAAAGAGGGATACATCATTGGTGCCAAATGCATCAGCAGCATATTAGAATCTTCATCTCTTGAATGTCCTGAAGGCTCTATATGTGGCCTTTTAGCAGAGTAATCATCCCTAAACAAATTATCCCTGCAAGCACCAATAACATTCTAGAGAAGCATCGATATGAAAAAGGAGCTTTTGCACAACACAAATGTTCGGGATTGAGGAAGTTTATACATTTTAATATTAACATCAGACACATCTTTTCCATCAAGGAGTTCACACAGAGCTTTACCAACATCTGGATGCAACTCCTACGTAAATATAAGGAAAAAGGTTACATATCCTTACTGACTACTGAGTAACAAATTTATTGTACCCACAAACAACAGAAAGGTTTCATATAGCACCTGACAATCTCTACTTATTTTAACAGGTTTGAATTGATTCCATGGGTTTTTCAGATGAAGAGTCTTTTGAAAAGGTAAATCATGCAACCGCAGCCATTTAACATTAAAGCTTCGACCCCAAGGATTGCGCCCATCACTTGCTTGGCTCCATACGCGGTCCCGTCTCTGCCCAACAGATGACATCATTTGTGCATAACCTTGGAAGAAACCACTCATGTTGACACTGAATATGAGAATGACCTTCCGTGAATTCTGCAATGAAAGAGTGTGAAGCAGTCAAGCTTGGGAGTGGTAAAAGTCTCTTGGAGAGTGCAAGTTTACAAGGTAATCAAACATTCAACATAGGCAACAGTTTTTTTACAGCTATATCTTACATGAAAGGCTTCCTCCAGAATAGGCTCATTCATAACTTGTGTCGCCCAAATACCCTTTTTAACTGACAATTGAAAATTTTCATGGTTCAGGCTCTTAATAATGAAATATCTTGTGCTATACAGCCTTCCATTTCCAATCTGCTCACATGGGGTTGCATGGAAACCTACTCCAGAACCAGAATGATAGTGGTTGTCATTCTCTTGGTAATTTGGGTAGGCTGTAAAATGTGGTACACATTATTTGCAAAATAGAGCATTTAAATACAACAACATTACCCCAGTGCCTCAAAGGCTCCTGCACATTGCAGGGTAAGGGGGGTTGGATGTACGCAGCCTGACCCCTGTGTTAAAACATAGAATGGCTGTTCCCAGATGACCCATGATCAGTGTCGAAAGTTGCATGAAGCACACAGATAGTTTAAGAACCATTTTGCTTTATTCCATCTTACTCCGAAGCCAAATAGTAGTGAATATTTGGCTCCATTGGAGAAGATGAAAGTGAATAGAGCATTTGAATAAGAAGAAAAAATATTTAAACTAGCACGAGTAAGATATGCAATCACTCATTATGATATATTCCATCCCAACACTTTCTTCTTCCTTTCCTTTTGGGTATTTCTAGATTCTTACATTTTTAAGGGAAGATATGTGCCACTTAAATAAACCATGATTACAGAACTTCATTTTCTTAATAAGCATGAAAAATCAAAGTGGGAAGAAAATTTAGAGGCAGAGTGAGGACATGATATTAAACGTAACAGCCATCTTCATGGCATACATCCAACATCGAACATCAGTACTCTGAGATAAAATGTAAAAACAAGAACTGCTTGATCAGTGACCAGCAGCTAGTACTCCCCCTGAACCACATATTTAAGAATAACAATTTTAAACAGTGAAGCATGAATAAAAAGTTCATGAAGGAAAGGTATCCTTGCTTGACGAACAAAACTGGTACTCCAGCTACAATTAAAAACAGCGATTGAAGTTGTTCCAAGCTTGGTTTATCCACTTACAGATTTTACAGGCATTCACCATATTGCAAGCATAATTTTACAACTTTATGATGCACAAAACCTAATTTTATCATGTCAGCATCATTTGCATGAGCGGAGTATAATCACTCCGTGTGCAGTAGAAATCTTGAGTAATCTTGACAGTTCATTAAGAAGAACTAAGTAACTTTCAGTCATTCAATTAGACAACACATAATAAGTAAACACAATATTGCACGACCTGAAATTATAAACCCTTTTTATGCATAAGCCAAAAAAGTGAAATCTATGTAGCGTCATTTTGTTTTACTACAATAGCTTACAATGTGCTATTTAATATGTTAAAACAAATCAAAAATACCAAACAAGAGAACGAAGAGAACTCAAAATCTAAGGTCATATAGAACATCAGAAAATAGACTATGGGAAAAACTAAAGAAAAAAAGCATCCGTATTACCAAGATCGTCCACTTTCCCTTTATCAGTTTTCCATTCAGTCCCGGACGAATCAACCACAGATGCACTTTCTTTTGCGGTATCTGATGACATATCTTAAATACCAACTATAACATAGTGGAAACAGAATGATGGTTTGCTTAAACTGGAAATAAAGTGCACCTGAAATAATAATATGAATATATCATATCATAATAACAGCATTTGCCATGATCCATAATACTCTACAGTACAATATACTCCCTCCATCCCAATGTATTTGCCTACTTTCCATTTAAGAAAAAGAAATAAGTGACATTAACTTATTTGCCTTCACATAATACTATAACTGCCCCAGCCAAAAAGTAAAAGTAGGGGCATAATGATCACTTCCTCCTCTCTTTTCTTGGTCCATGTTCCAAAAAGAAAGTGAACAAATACACTCCAAGAGAGGAAGTACTTAAAGTTCAAAAAATTGCAAATGTTCTGAAGATGTCATTTGGGACCATCGAATGTAAGAATGCAACAGGGATTGGCATTCAATTCAATCAGAGTACATGTACATTAGAAAATACATATGGACAAATGGTATGGAGTATCAAAAAAACTCACAAGTAGAAAAGAGAGAATTTATTCACCATAAGAAGCATGGTTTTAAAAGCTGCACAAAAGCCTTATTTCGTAAGGAACATGGCTTTAAATGACGCAAGGCTTATGCTCCTGAGATGCTGAGAGACGAAAAAAGAACCCACAAGGCTTATGCCTTATTCCACTTAAATGAGGCTTACACCTCAAGTCCTAGGCATGAGGCTTATAAGCGTTGAGGTTTATTGTAGCTAACACCTTGATTTATAGAGAAAAGTCTCAAGTCTTTCCCTCTTTAGAGTGGGTTATTTTTTGAAACGTGTTGGACTAATTTCTTTTAATCAATTGGGCCTCAGCTCCTTCAAGACACAAGCCTAGTCTGTCCCTTTTCCCTTTATATATTTCTTAAACAAACAACCATAGTCTTCTTTCCTCCAGGATCCATCCCTTAGTCCATTCCACACACGACTCCCTAAGACCTTACAACCTCTTCATTTTGTCCATCTTCACCATAATTGAGCAGTAATTCAATGATCACCACTTTAATCTCTCATCTCTATCTCTAGGTAAGTCTTTTTCTGCATTTTCCCTCTATTTTTACAATTTTTGTCCCTTCCTCTCTCTCTCTCTCTCTCTCTCTTGTTAATTTGCTCTTCTCTCTTTGGTTTGGTTTGGCAGAGACTTTTTGGACAGCTTTTTCAGAGAAGAGCAGAGTAAAAAAAAGATGTCCAAAAAGCTCTTATCTCCTATGTCAAATAAGCTGTCCAAAAAGACTTTTTGGTCCTTCTCTCTTTGGTTCAGTTCAGGAAAGACTTGTTGGGACCATAATTCTTTAAAAGTCAATTACCAAAAGAAGAGCTTCATTGACTTAAAGAGATGTCCGACTTAGGTTGAATATCTATTAGAAGCATAGTTATCAAGGCGCCAAGGCGCCAAGGCGAGGCACGGTGTCAATGTACCACCGTGACCATAGTTATGAATGGCGAGTGGCGAGTGGCTGGCGAGCGGATGTTTTTTGTGGCGAGTGGCGTGGCGAGTGGCGGGCGGTCAAATGGCGAACCAAAAAAAGCGAATATATATATATATATACACAATAAATAATATTAATATTTTAAAAGAAAAAAATCAGTAACTATTAGTGGTAACTATTAGACTAAAAGAATAAAATTTATAAACTGAAAAAAAGAATAATAAAAGAAACAGTATTTTTCTAAATTGAAAGAATAAAGCACAAATTGAATATATAATGGTAACTATTAGTCTAAAAGAATAACATTTATAAACTAAAAAAAAGAACAATAGACCTGAAGCTCCTGGAGGCTGCGACTTGACCAAAATGAATAGCTGGGAAGTTGAGACTTCCGATTTAGGAGCAGGAGCAGAGTCGAATAGAGACACAGAGCAGAGTCGACTTCCAGAGAGAGGGAGGAGAATCGATTTTGACAGTTAATTTGGAGGAGTAGATCGGGGATGAAAGACGGAAGATTGGAAGGGGATGGATCGATTAAGGTAACCTACTTAAGGTAATGGATCAAATTATTTAATTTCAAACGGGCTTAAGCCCAATTTAATTAAGGCCTTCTAATAGATCTTACTGGCGACTTAAGCGCTCGCCACACGCCATAGAAAACTGTAAGAATGGCGACCGCCTTTTCTCGCCTCAAGAACGCCATGCACGGCCCAATTCAGGCGTTTCAGCCTCGCCACAGCGCCATAGGCGAGCATGGCGAACGCCATTCATAACTATGACCGTGACGCCTTGACTAGGTGACCTAGGCAGTAACACACAGGAAATCGGGATTGGTATACATTAGTAATACACTAATACTAAGTAACACTAATATAAAATAACCATACGTGTTCTCTAAACCTAATCAAAATTTCAAATAAACGTAATTAAATAAATTATTCACACACCATAATATAAAAAAGAAAAAAAGTATGAAATACGAAACATGATTAAAACACAATATGCGACTTCTCAGCGCAAAGTAAATACTGAGTATGAAAAAAGTCATTGACTAAAAGGCATAAAGGATTTTCAGAAGGCAATGCCTAGAGTCGACGTCTGGACGAGGGATGCAAAGTAGGGGGAGGCGAGAGGAGCTGACGTCCAGGACGCCTAGGAAACGCCGTGATAACTATGATTAGAAGATGTACAGTGATCAGTTTTTTGGTCCCGAAAAGTTAGTCTCCAAGAAGCTTATTGAGATGAGCTTTTTCCTCAGCATGACCGACAGGAAGCAGGAGATGGAAATGATGATGGAGCTAAAATTTTAGATAATAATGCAATGGGCAATATTAATTTTAAAGAATAGTCGTTAGAAGCTTAGGAGCTATAATTCATAAACATGTTCTAAGTTTTTATTAGGGTTTGGCATGCATATTCTAAGTGTTCATGTCCTATTGACTTTTTTGTTTTTTTCCTTTTAAGACAATATTCTGTTTTTATTTCAACATGTCAAGCGTGTATGCCATTGAACTATCAATATGAATGGTCCATTTTACCCAAATTATTACTATTCCTATTATCATTACTCCCTTCGCCCCTAAATAAACATTACTTTATCTTTTATCAAAACGTTTAAAAAATAAATATGGGTGATTGAGATTTATCTTTATCAAGTAAATATTTATTTACTTAAACATGTAATAAAGTTTTTTAAAAGGCAGCCCAAGAACGTAAACAACAACAAACCCAATAAATTCCCACACAGTAGAATCTTGAAAGAGTGTGTATACACAGACCTTACCCCTACTCAGAAAGAGAGAGGTTGCTTCAAGGAGACCCCCGATTCAAAAAACCTGATTACCAACAACGAAAATTAGCACAAAGTAAGACCACAAAAAAAACATGCAAACAAAACTAAAAACTAAGGCACAAAAACACACAGACAGAAATGACAAACTAAGGCCAACAAGTCTATCCTACCACCATAATGTGAGACCTTCTCACACTCATATCTAAGGTCACATCCCCAATGAGATTATAACCACTCCTTCAGACTCTTCTTAGATCTAGCTCTACCCCCCCCAAACGGCTGCTACCACAAGCCCCTCGCACTTCCTCACTAGATATACGTACCTCACCTTTGTACATGTTCAAAGAAGAAGAAAATGGGTCTAGGGTCCATTTGGAAAGGGGGGAAATGACTTTCGGAAGTCATTTTCCTATGTTTGGCTATTCTAGAAAATACGAGTTAACGAAAAATGATTTTTGACCTCAACAGAAAATGAGACTTATTTGGAGGAAAAAAATTTCTGTTTTTTACAAAATATATTTTCCACCTTTTACAGAAGACAATTCCACCTTTTTTTACTTCTTAGAATGAAACTCAACACCTTTTATTATGTTATAGCAAAAGCTATTTTTTTCATATTCCAAACTTTCAACCAAACACTATAAAATGAATTTATTTTCTAGAAACTTTTTCCTAGAGCGCATTTTTGAGAAATCACTTTCTTTCGACCTTTACATATGGACCCTTATAGTAAAGGGCGTAGGGATTACTATTTTATCTGTATCAACTTGGGGGTTAATCCGTGTGAAGTAGACGTGGACCACATCAAGGCCCAATTTTTCCATCCAACACCTTTTTTAAATTTAATTGTCAAAGCATTTGGAGAGCCATTCAACACCTTGGTATGGAGGAAATGGATAAGAATCAATTTAAGGCTTTAAGCATGTCTAACTCTTCCGCCAAGTGTATCAAATTCAGATTTTCATCACTATTCTAGTATTTTCACTCATTAGGAATCTCCAGTCCATTATAAATCCTATAATTTTGATCACCGCATTAAAGCTTAATTTCCATGAAAAGTGAATCAAATTATATTTCCCATTGATATAAAAATATAATAGCAATTGCCTACACAGAGGCAAACATGGACATTTTTATCCTGCAATATACCTTTAAATTTCGTCTGATTCTGGTATCCTAAAGCATTGATAGCTTATTGAGTGGAGTACATTAAGATTCAGAATCCTAAATAAACTACAGTAATAAAGAACAGTCTAACACTACCTACGGTTGTGGTTTTGCTGAAATGAACAACAAAAAAACCATTGTAGAAAAAATAAATTCAAATCTGCTCTTTGAAACTTACATTTCATGCCATGAAGAAGGTATGAATTTATAATTAAACCAAAATCCCTACTCTGCATCTACTTTGCTTTCAAATTCGCAGTTCAATGTAGGGAAAGAATCCATTATGGAATTAAATGGAACAGGATAAAGAACACCGGCGAGCTCACAGAATTAAGTGGGAAAAAAAAGCAAAATTAGTTTACAAAAAAAGAAATGGAAGTGGAATAAAACGTACCTTAGGCAGATGAAGATGGAGAGGAAAGAGGTGAAGATAGAGCGCGGGTTTCTTTCGATCTTGATAAACTGTGCCCTAATTTTTTTCTTTGAATGGGCCAACTTTCAGGCTCTCTGAATATAGGGCCTTAAAAGATCAAGGCTTTTTGGTTTTAATCAAAATTGCTTTGTGCCCATTGGGTACGTGGCGGTCGGAACAAATTGAGATTATATCATAAATTACTTTCCTTACGATTTTTCAGACCGAGTGTGGGAGAGCCCGAGTTGGGCGTTCCACCTTTTCATAAAGCGAACTACGCCTTTGAAATAAATCTAATAAATTTATTTTTATATCAATATCTGATATCATTTTTATTTAATATGAGGTCAAAACTTATCAATTTTAATTAAAAAAATTAAATATAGACAAATACTCATCGAAGGATACTCGACGGAAGGAGTATGGTCTAGGGCTTCATTTGAAGCAATGTGGGCAATTTAAGATAAAAGTTATAATTTTATTCTTTTTTTATTACTAATAACTCTACTACACATATGTAGTAGTTATTATCCTTAGTGGTTCGAACCCATAACCTCTCATTGGAGAGAATCATATTGAGTTGGACCGGATTTGAACTAAATAATGGGATACATGAACACCATGAATGTAACTGAATAGTTTTTTGAAAATTGATTTGGATTTGTTTGAAAATTGAAAATATTCTTCCGCCCCCCGTAGAACTCGTAGCGAAATAACTTGAATATCCGGCCCATCATTTAACTCTGACCCTACCCAATTCTCGACGGGAACACTATTTAAAAAAGGTTCTTAGGCCAAATAGCCCTCGTACCTCCCGTTATTTGAAAAATACTTCGGGGAAGGCAACAATACCCCTTCTATTTTTTCAAAACTTACTTCTAACATCTTTGTGATTTCAAAATGTTACACCGTGCCCCCTCTCATCATTTTCCAACCATTTTCCGGGGAATTAGTGCATATTTTCTAAATCATATGGGGGTATCAGTGCAAATTTTTATTTCTCGCTTATTTTTTGTTTTTTCCATTTTTTCCTTTTTTGTTTCATTTATTAATAAAGGTTTTTTTAAAATTATTTTTATAATGTTCTTAAAATTTAAAGTTATTTAAAAAATAACATATAATGCATATGTACGTCTCAAATTAACAATTTTTGTTTTGTCTGAAAAAAGTCCTTTTTTTAGATTTTCAAAAAAATGAGGAATAAAATAAGAAACAAAGTAATACAAAAATATAAATGAATATCCTTTTTGGACATCTCAATTCTAAGAACCTTTTTATATGTGTCCAATTTTTTGTATAAAACTTTTTTTTGCGTATTTTAATTGTTTCATTTCATCTGAACCATTCAAATATACTTTTTTTTCATTTTTTAATTATCAACCATTGAATATATATTCTTTGTATAATTCAACAACCAGAAGTGCATGAAACAGGTAATGAAGTCCATACCACTGCCAGAGCTGTAGACAAATGCATTTGACACCAACTCTTTGATATTGGTCCTTAGAGTCGATTGGTGAGTGCTGCTGATTTGAAACTGCGACCAGTGCTGAACGCTGGCGCTCATTGGTGACGGAAGCCTTAGTAGCTGGTGCATAGGAGGAACTCACCGCCATTCAAAAGCAGATCCCGACCTGAAGTCGTGCTGCCTCTGCTCTTTTTCTCCCTGGAGTCGCAACCACCATCACCTATAGTAGTACTCGCCGTGCAAGAAGCCAGCGACCGTCGCCAAGCAGTCAGCGCTCAAGAGGGGTGTCGCCGCCACTTTCACCACCACCCCTCCTCCCACTGTCGTCGCCGCCGCCACTAATGCACCTACATTGCAATAATGGAGTGCACATTCCAAATGAACCCCACAAATTTCACCTCACATTCCAAACATAAATATTTCAGGTTTGCAATACAATCCATACTGAAAAGGAGTTTGGAAGATATCTTGTTCAGAACCTCAAGAAATGAAAACCTCTCACATAAAAGTAATACCCATATTTTTAGATTTCAAAAAAGTCACTCTTTAATTCTCTTAACCAACATTAACATCTCTAAACTCTATATCATAAATTAAAAGAAAATCTCCCACCGTCACCACCATTGTGCCACATTAACTATCCATATAGTGTAAAGTAAGGATATAATGCCAAACATGACTATATATACTGCCACACATGAAATTACATGTGCATGTGAATGCATAATATCAAACAGAGGCATAATGTCAAACATGTCAATGCCTAATGCAATAAATGACAATGTATAATAACAAACATCTCAACCTATAATGAGAAACATGTCAACATATAACGTAACAAATGACAACACATAATGTTAAAAAGGAGAAATGCCAAGAAACTCTACAATTTTCCAATGTCATAATCATTCAATTCAAACTTCAATATTTCATATTCTAGATCAAGAGTGCCAATTGAATTTTTATTCCAAGTACCCCAATCACACAAACAATAAGATTTTCTTTTTGCGTATAAAGAAAAACTAGAAAAGAACGATAATCTCAAAAGCTTGTTTGAACTCTCTGATTTGCTAAAATTATAGCTAAAATATACACAAAGAGTAAACACAACAAACCCAAAAAGAAATATGCAACAAAAACATGAAAAAAAGTTTAGAAAATCATGGAAATCCAACAAGATTGCATTTTATGCACGCAATTCCAATAAAAATCTGCAGCCCCAACAAATATAAACATAGATCTAATTAAGAGTCATTGAAGGAATTTGCTGAATAAATGAAACTAAAAACATACAAATGAATTGAAAAAACAGGGAAGCGAGGGGAAGAGGCGATGGCGGAAGGGGGCGGCGGCAATGACGGAAGAGGTTTGACGGCGATTGGGGCAGCAGCGGTGCAATGCTGAAAAGGAGGAGATCAGAGAGAAAGGAGGTGGGACGGTTGTGTTGTTTTACCAATCGATCGGGAAGTGGAGCGGACACTGTATAAAATTACAGAGTAAATTCTAAATTGGATTATAATAAATACTCTTATTTTGGGTATATAAGTTTGGGACTCCTATTTTGAGTATATGTCTAATGATTTACTTCTATTTAGAAGGTTTTCTTAAGATATTTTAAAATCTGTTCTGATTGTAGTTATAATTAAATTCTTTTTTAATCTAATTTAATTTAGTCTGATTATAAAAAAATAAATAGTAAGTAGAAAAAATAAATTGAACGAAATATTAACTTAATTTGAAACATAAATACTCCGTATCTTTCTATAATGTAACGGAGTACTGTAGTACGGAGTAATATTATTGAAAATTGTTCAGTGTCTCATCTTTTTTTTCAAATGTTTAGGGTACGACTATACTTATCGCTGAAAACGCATTTATTTGGTGAACTCTCCAATAATGGCTGCCGTCGCCTCACCGGGTCCGCCGTCGGGAGCCGGAACCCGGCCACTGATTCTCATAAACCGCTTGCCCCGCCACCAACTCTCAGCATTATTCCCCTTCCTCCAAACCCGGTACCGGATTCTTGACCCGATTGACGAATCCGGGCCATCGTTCGCCACACTCTCTAAATCGGGCCGGGTCATGCTCTGCGTCGGGACCACGCCGCTCACATCCGACACCCTGGATAGGTACCCTTCGCTCGAGTGCGTCGTCTGCTCCAGCGCCGGCCACGAGCCCACGACCATGTCGACGTCGCCGAGTGCCGACGCCGAGGAATCCGCGTCACCGGCGCCGGAGACACTTTCTCCGATGACGTGGCCGATTTCGCCGTCGGGCTCTTGATTGATGTTCTACGTAGGGTCTCTGTCGCCGACGGATTTGTCCGGTGTGGTGATAAGGATGGTGGATTAGTTATATTATTTATTAATTAGTAGTCATTTAATATTCAATAGTAATCTTCTTTAGGGTTTTAGTATGGGCCCGAGCCCATTAGGTTAATTGGGGTGTTTCCCCACCCCTCGTCTCTATATATTGTAATCAATCTTTTTTACCTGAATCAATCAATAATAAAGAATTCTCTTAATCTCTTGTCTCTCTGTTCTTAGAGCTCGGAAACGCTCGAAGTTTTCCTATCAATTGGTGCTCTCATTGAGAGAAATTTCCATTCAGAGAAATTTCCAAAAAAAACAAAAACAAAACAAAAAAAACGCAGATCTGCAACATCTGCCCCTAGAGATAATTACAATCACCGGCAGATTCAATTGCTTGCCGCCGCTCACATATTCTAGCAGTCGCCTTTGCCCTTGCTGGATTCTTGTGCCGCTGCAATCCCCAGTTCACTGCCACAACTGCAGAACCCAATTGCTACGAAATTGTTTGGGGGCCGATCAGTCTTCATAGCCGCAGGCGTTTTATTTGGAGTACAAGGTGTAAGGATTCAAGGGCCTATTGACGGAAAAAAAATCCCGCCCGTCGATCGCTGCACATTCCGGCTGTCCAGATGCTAAAAAGAAATCAATTGCCGGCTGATCCAGAAGTCACGAAGCTCAATTCGCTTGTCGCTGCCCAAAATTCTGCGGAGTAAGACCAAATTTGTTGCCGCCTTAATCATAGCAGGATCTTTTTTTTTTCTTGCTGCAAAATTGTTTTCGGCTTTTGCAAGCCCAAGGAAAAAAAATGATGTCCATCATGCACCATGATTTTTTGTCAAGAATGGAGGCTCGATTCCTACGGTTAGAGGCTTTGATTATATGTACCGGTGCATTGGACAAACTCATTAATTTGCTGGAGAATGTTCTATATGGAGAAATTGAGCACCATGAGGGAGTTTGTGCACTTTACGATCACATAGATGAAATTATAAAGAATCTCCGGTCATTTCGTCATATTGAAGGTCGGTCAAATTATGATTCTGACTTACACACATTTGACATTGAAATCTCTTGCGCGATACAGGATTTGGTCCGTGGGCCCCCAATTTTGTCGGAGTTACAAAACTTTAGAACAAATATGTTGGGCGCTATTAAAATTCTCATCGATACTCCGCCTTCTGCACCAAATCTGGTCTCTACAGTAGTTGAGAAACACACTGAAGCACATGGTCAAGCATCTAAGGAGGAATCAAACATTGACTCACAAGTTGGAGATGAAGTGGACATCGGGCCTGAAACAATAAACAGAGATGACGGGAGGTCCAACGTTGTGGAAACAAATGAAGGTCCTCTTGCAGCAAATGTTGCTCATGTCGACAAGCCTGATTCTACTTTTCATGAATTTTATACCTCAGTTGGATGGGTCATTTCAAAGTATGATGTTCCAAAAAGTGTTGACAAAGTGGTAGATGCAGATGGTAAGAAAGCATGCTCACCTATTTTGATTCACACCATCAAGTTATTTGAGCTGATCGATGTTGTCAAGTATGAGCACTTGGGTTCAAAGAAAATAGTTCAATGCAAGTCTGGCCATCTCTCTTATTTCTACCGCTATACTTCATCTGAGAAGCTTCTTGAAGAGTGGTCAACAAATGAATGTCTCTTCTGGTTCGTCGCGTACTCACGTATCCAAAAGCATGAGTGGGATCCTCCACCTTGAGGACAAGGTGATTTTTAAGGGGGTGAGAATGATACGGATGGTGGATTAGTTATATTATTTATTAATTAGTAGTCATTTAATATTCAATAGTTAATCTTGTTTAGGGTTTTAGTATGGGCCCGAGCCCATTAGGTTAATTGGGGTGTTTCCCCACCCCCTCGTCTCTATATATTGTAATCAATCTTTTTTACCCGAATCAATCAATAATCAAGAATTCTCTTAATCTCTTGTCTCTCTGTTCTTGGAGCCCGGAAACGCTCGAAGTTTTCCTTCTCTCTTTGCCTCCTCTTTCTTGGAGCCCGAAGACGCTCGAAGTTCTTCCCTATCCCGGTACGAATCCTACAAGATTCGTATCAATTGAAATTGATACGAATATCGTACCGGATAGGGAAGAACTTCGAGCGTTCTTCAGGCTCCAAGAAAGGGGAGGCAAAGAGAGAAGGAAAACTTCGAGCGTTTCCGAGCTCCAAGAACAGAGAGACGAGAGATTGATAGAATTCTTGATTATTGATTGATTGCATAAACGGGGAAGGATTACAATATATAGAGAGTAATACGATACGCTAATTGACCTAATGGGCTCGGGCTCATACTAAACCCTAAACCCTACTAATTAAATAATATTTAATTATAAATACTAATAATTAATTAAATATCTTAATCACCATACATATCATTCTCACCCCCTTAAAAACCACCTTGTCCTCAAGGTGGAGGATCCCACTCATGCTTTTGGATATGTGAGAACATGATGAACCAGAAGAGACATCCATTTGCTGACCAATCTTCAAGAGGCTTCTCGGGTGAAGTATATAGGCATAAATAAAAGTGAAGACCAAACTCTCGTCGAATCATTTTCTTCGAGACCAGGTGCTCAGACTTGACAAGATCAAACAACTTGATGGTATCCAAAGAAATTAACTGGGCCGCTTGGTTACAATT